CTGTTGTTCTGACGTCATTTCAGTTGCGAGCTCAACGGAAAAATGTTTGATAAACAACACTACAACAACTTGTGTCTTCAACAAAGGAGTATCCCTAACTCTCCAGCCACTCGGACAGGAAGTATGCCTCTCTTTGAGAAATACGAGAAATGAGTCGATAGGTGTTATTTCACTCCGCATGCAAAGCATTCGCTACGTGTGTCAGAAGAAAATCGAGTTTTTCACGAGGGACCATGAAATTCTCACCGAATCTGTCCACAGATGTTATCGAGCAGGAAGCTGTCAAAAGGGTAAATGCGACACAACGAAATCGTCTGACATCGTCGGAGAATTCAGCTGGAGAGCAGCAAATCACCCTGGATTTACCTTCTGCAGGACCAGCTGTGGTTGCCTACTCACGTGTGGATGTTTTTTCTGCACACCTTCCTGCCTGTTCTACAGATACTACGCAGCACCAACTTCGGATACCATCTACACTGTTTTCACTTGTCCAGTGTGGGAACTGACTGTAACTGCTGAAATGACACTCCAGCTGCAAGGAAAAGCAGAAACGTTCCCCGTCATTCTCCGCCCAGGAAGAACTACACGGATAAAGGATATAACGCTATCACTGCTATCAACCATATCTCCTCAACTACCAGTCCTCGGATCAACATTCATCACGGACGGTACGACATCAGCTATGACGATGAATGTGCAAGCAAACGCACTGACACCAGGAACACCAGCGCAGCTTCAGTGTCTGTCGAAAATGGATGCGGCTCAATTCCGTTGCAGGTTCTCATCAAGCGCTTGCACCTGCTCCGCTGGATCATACAAGGCCACATGCACATGCCCATATGGACATATTTCGCGACATCTGAATCAAAACACCCTCCCTCTATTCACCAAAAACGTCATGATTGAACACTATGACGACACTGTAGCTGCACACGCTCGGATCGGATCCGCAATCTCCTTACAGCTTGAGATGCAGAACGTCAACGTCGTTTCCCTGCAAAGCGAAGCACACTGTTCCATCACGAGCTCAACTGTTGAAGGATGCTACTCGTGTCTACTCGGCGCTAAGGTCACCATCGTGTGCTACTCCAGTGAGGATCAAACGACAGCCGACATCACTTGCGACAAACAGCAACAAATCGCCGTCTGCACCAGGAATGGCAAATTGTCAGAAATTGCGTTCCACTTCGACTCACCGTCAGTCAACATGAATTGCACCGTCTCCTGCCCCGGAGGGGAATCCAGCTTCCAAATCAACGGCGTTCTCGACTACGTGAACGACGCAAGCTTCCAAGACGAAATCTCCCACAGCAGCGAAGAGAACTTCAACCATTCAGGCAACTCTATCACGGCAGCAGGTCAACTGGATATCATCACTCCCGAGCAAAACCATCACATTACTTTGTAACCTAAGCATATTCGCATATATTAAGATTTCTCCTAATTTTTATAATCTTTGTAATGTCTCTGAATTGCATTGTTTCATTAACACCTTCATTTTCTAAAAGAAAGAGGCGAACCTAATGCTTGCCGGGAATTTATCTGATCGATGATATTTTCCTTAGGAAAATGTTCATGAATCATTTCCCATTTAGGTTGAATCACTTTCCTAACATAGACGATGTTTAAGTTCATGCTTATTATATTTTGACGGGCGGTAGAATCAGAGCATAAGATTGGCTCTAAATTAACTTTCTGACTCACATAGTTAGCATATATAAACCCCCTCAGTGCACATTATGTCCGGTTTTGTACCACGGAATAAAGCTTCGACTCGCTTCGACCATATGGCGACCACGACCGAGACGAACTTGTGATCGACAGGACCTGCACGGATACCGCCAGTTCCATACCACCTTCCCTCCGTCAACTGCAGTATCACCTTACCCTCGTCCACTGCAGTATCCCTCCCTTCGTCTACTGCGATATCCCTTCCCTTCGTTACTGCAGTATCCCTTCCCTTCCCTTACTGCAGTATCCCATCCCT